ATTTTTTAGTTGGATTTTCTATAAAAGCGTATTTTGTTAATTTTTTTAAACTATTATTTATTATGAAAACTAAGTGAATATAAATTAAATATATTTTAAAGAAAAATGGTCTAAAATAATGTTTTCATGATTTAAATGATAAGTTTTTCATCAGGGTTGTGAAGCGAAGTTCCATCTCTTTCTCACAGAATGAGATTAATGTAGATTTTCTACGGTCAATGTTAGCAGTGACGTCATTATTAGCTTTACAGTGTACTGTGTAGCACATTATTCGTGTAGCTTGAAATTAAATCTCTGGTAAATTTTTCATTTCTTAACCCATGTTAGTTTTTGTTTTTTCTTTGTTCTCACGATTCAGTAATTTCCGGCTTATTACGAGGCAATGAAAATGTCAGTCAATAATTCGATTAATGATCGATATTCCAATAGTGAAAGCAATAAAAGACCATAATTTATTCCGACTTATTTCCGAGTTTATAGTTAGTTACTTTGTTTTATTGCGTATAGTTATGTTAGTGATTGTTTTAATAGAAAGTATATTTTCTTTAGGTATTCTATACAATATTTTTCTCCCTACTTATCCTCTAGTAGCCTAAGGGGCTATTACAGATACGCGTGAACGGGTAGATTTAACTTTGGGAGAATTTGCAACACCAGCCCCAGTCAGAGCAGTGCTTATAATGGTGGTAGGACCTCTTGTGAGTTCGCGCGGGTAGGTACCCGTCGTAGGTACCCTGCCTATTTCTGCCGTAAAGCAGTAATGCGTTTCGGTTTGAAGGGTGGGACAGCTGTTGTAACAATACTGAGACCTTAGAACTTATATCTCAAGATGAGTGGCGCATTTACGTTGTATACGTGGGCTCCAGTAACCACTTAACACCAGGTGGGCTGTGAGCTAGTCCACGCATCTAAGCAATAAAAATAAAAATAAACTGACGAAACTAGAAGGCTAAGTTCTTGCAAGACCACAATATAGTCTTTGTAAACCATCTAAAAGTCTCCCTAGATCGTCCATTGTCCACAGGTCATGTCACAACGCCTTACAAAACTGAGGTTATCGACCTTGTTTTGGAAATTGATGAAATTTATACCGAATAGTGTTATCGGTAAATCTCTGATTTTATTTTGGGTCGACTTCGATAAGGCTTTTATTTTTATGTGACATGTGTATTTTTTCTAACAGTATTTGTGTTTGATGTGTATATGCAAATAGGTATCTGAAAACACGACATCACTAGTACTATAAATTTGTCATTGATTTAACATTAACAATAAATTATGCATTCGAATCTATTAAGTATATGTACATATAGGTATCCATCTTTTTTATATATGACTTCATAGTTTGGTCCAACTATAGATGATTGTAAGTATTGTAACCAGATAATTAAATACGGAGGCATGTGTCAGCGCCAATAGAGTCCACAGCACAGGGGTACAACTGTATTTCTGAATATGGTGTTATGACATAGCATTTCCCGTCACCCGCATAGCCAACCGTATAGCCTCAATAGACGTAGTTAAACAAAAGGTAACCATTCGTAATGAATAATACATATTTTATTATTCTTTGAATGCCTGGTAGGAGATGGGAGTCGGGAAACTGAACTCTTCTGTCGGACGGTTGGTTTATGATTATGTAGATTATGCAGAATAATAAATGATGAATATTTTTTTCCTACCTAAGCTGATAGCCTTGAGAGGCTATGTCAGCGTAACCTAACAAGTTGATGAGCTCACGGTGCTCAAACCTGACGAAGTGGCTAACACTAACCGTAACCAGAGAACTGCTTCGTAGAATCTACCACCAGATCTGAAACGCGACCCACTGAGAAGATCCGGCGAGAAACTCAGTGGGCTGTGTCTGTGGGTTAATTTACTGGCCGAGCCCTTCGTCGCAAGCGACGGGTTCGACGAAAACGATGACCGGCGCTTGAGGTATCTACAAGCACCGTTAGTGGATCGGGAGGATCCGAAATGACATGCTTAGGGCCGTGTGAATAACTCATTAAAAATTTGCAGTTACTCTGTTTTCCCAGTGACTATATATTGGATATTTTTGCTTGGAACAAGAGGACAAAGGACACGTCGAATTCTAAAACTTCCTCCCGTTGATTTGGTAAAGAATAATGTATGTAATAAAGTACTGATCCGTTTTTAAAATCCCTACTACGGTCTACTATTTTTAATCTTTATACATTCGCTCATGGATATTAACAGAAACACACTAAGATTTCTTGTCATACTTCATTTAAAGAATGACCAGTCATGCGCACTTGGGGAAATGACGAGGGAGTTATTAGATTTTTTGATGGCACGCGGCAAAATCTGGAGTCCGGAAATTTTTTAAATTTTCAATTTTCACCAAGCAATTATTTTTATAGTTTGGATAGTGGATGATCTCACGGTTCATCTGGTATTAAGTGGCTACCGGAGACCATACACATGAACAATGTAAATGGCTACAACGGCTTCCCCACCCTTCAAACCGAAACGCATTACTGCATTTCGGTTGAAATAGACAGGGCGGTGGTACATCCCCGTGCGGACTCACAAGAGGTGCTACCACCAGTAAAGTTATTAAGTAGGTATTTCATCCTGCCTGCGGGATTCGAACACTGACACAGACGTATCGCTCAATAAAAATGCACCGGGCGTCTTATCCTTTAGGGCACGACAATATTTTCTACATAATATAGGTTCCTACGATGACACGTCCTTCCCGCTAAGCGCAGTCATTATGCTGGGTCCCTCTTTCATAAATTGATCCATTTCGCACCCGCATACTACGATGCTTAATTTAATTATAATAATTATTAAAGCTCGCGATTCTCTTGCAAAAAATGATTCCATAATTTTTAACATTAAATCTCTATTGCATTTTATAAATTGTAATATGATGTGTGACACAAAAGTATTGTATTTTTAATTCGTTGAAGACTTAAAATTTAACTTTGTCATTATTTTAACTTAGTTTTACCTAGGTAAATAGCGTACCTAATCTTTAAACAGAAATGTCCCTATTTATTTAATAATAATAAAAATAAAATTATTTATTGCCTTTCATCTATACTAATATTATAAAGCTGAAGAGTTTGTTTGTTTGGACGCGCTAATCTCAGGAACTTCTAGTATTAAATAAAAAAAATACAAAAATAAGAAAAAGGAAAAAGGAAATGGCTCATCTAATGCTGTTCAAGGTCGATAAATCGAACAGCGCTGATTTTCAATCACCCCCGTTTCCCTTTGGTTCATTACAAAAATGAAGGCTAGGTACGTGTTTACAGACTTAGAACATGATATATTATTATTGGTATTTGGTATACTAGCTGTACCCGTCCGCTTCGCTGAGCATTTAAAATTAACATTATTATTTCTCACCCCCACAAAGATTATCATCATTATCGCCCGCGCAACTGGTGTAGGGAGGCCGACACTCATATAAATATTAGCCTGTCCATTAAGTACATGTATTTTCTACATGGATACCAAGTTTCAAGTCAATCGGATGTATGGTTCAGTAGTTATAACGGAACATCCGTAAAAACCACTTTATATTTATATATTACTAAAGATTTCATGGTATATTTCAGTGCATACACATTTAATTTAATTTAATTTAATTTAATTACTTTAATTTAATTTAATCTCTATATATAAAAATGAACTGCTGTTCGTTAGTCTCTCTAAAACTCAAGAACGGCTAAACTGATTTAGCTAATTTTGGTCTTGAATTATTTGTGGAAGTCCAGAAAAGGTTTAAAAGATAGATAAATATGAAAATGCTCGGAATTAAATAAAAATAACAATTTTGTTTTCCCTTTGATGTGTCCCCCGTCGGACGGATTCCTTTTGTTTATTTTAAGTTTATTTTTTAGAAAAGTTTAGGTTTTTTATTTATCCGTTGAGGCACTACGAAGTCTGCCGGGTCAGTTAGTTTAATATATAAATGATAATAAAGATGCCCTATTAATTATATTTAGCCCACGCCACGTAACGCTTCGATGAGGGAATCCCATTCAATTCAATTGTCTCGATTTCACCTACGCGCAACATCGTCACCGCATTTCTCAATATCGTTTCGAATGTTTAATTTTTAAATTATAATAATAAGGTGTGGTTTAGTGTGACGAATGTCATTTTCACGCCTTCACATTATATCGTGTTCAACCGTTGGACGCGATTCGAAGCGTAATTAAATTTTTTGAAACGACATCCTACAGTTTTTCTTTATTTTTTTTATTGCAATTATATGCAGATGATCATACGGTCCACCTGATGGTGAGTGGTTATTGTCGCCTATGGACGTTAGCAATGCCAGGGGCGGAGCTAAGCCGCTGTCTACCAAAACCTGTCCTGCTTGTGATTTTTTTTATTGTCTTTTTAGGCAGACGACCATACGGCCCACCTGATTGGTTACCGTCGGCCATGGACTTCGGCAATGCAAGGGGCAGACCAAGCGTACTACTGCTTTGTAATGAGTCCTTTTCCGATATCGGTTTAAATTCAGGCGTATCACAACGGGAGGAGAATCATATCAGTCGGGAGTGTCGCATCTCACCAGCGGCCGTAGCTTTTGAGATGACTCATATTAATACAAACGTAATAGTCTGTGGCTAGCTCCTTGAAGTAGTACCTCGATCTTAATATTTATCAGACTATATTCCACAACTTTTAGACTGTACGGTGGCTGGTGCGTCGTTTCCTAACGCTCACATTGGATGTCAATAAAGTTTTACGACCAAAAAGCGAATCACTACATAGTATAAAACAAAGTCGCGTTCTCTGTCCCTATATCCCTATGTATGCTTAAATCTTTAAAACTACGCAACGGATTTTGATGCGGTTTTTTTTAATAGATAGAGTGATTGAAGAGGAAGGTTTTCATGTATAATAACATCGATTAAATAGTGGAGAAATCAAAAATAAATTATAGTTTCCGAAGCGAAGCGAGGGCGGGTCGCTAGTAAATTACAAAAAAAGCTACGTTTACATTGCAGGCGGAACAGCGATTAGCGGCGCGACGGGCGGCGCGGGCGGAAGCGCGGGAGATTCGCATGCGAGAGTTGGAGCGACAGCAACGCGAACAAGAGGACCATGCCGATAAAGCTTTCGATATGTATACGGGTACTGTACCAACTATTCAAACGATTTTTTTTATTGCTTATATGGGTGGATGAGCTCACAGCCCACCTGGAGTTAAGTGGTCACTGGAGCACATAGACATCTACAACATAAATGCGCCCACCTTGAGATATAAGTTCTAAGGTCTCAAGTATAGTTACAACGGCTGCCTCACCTTTCAAACCGAAACGCATTACTGCTTCACGGCAGAAATAGGCAGGGTGCGGACTCACAAGAGGTTTTACCACCAGTGTAGATATAGTATATATAATCTTTGTGATGTAGGCGAGCTCGAGCTATCAGGGGATTTCACATATAGATCCTATAAGAATTGATTTTTCATCTACTATGCGTGCACGTGGCTGCAATATTCTTAACCGATGCTATAAGTTTGGTAGTGGACCAGAGATAGGCTAAAGCAATTGTTTTTCTCGTGACAATGCAACGTGTTTCTTTGGCATAATAAATTCAAGGTGCATGAAATCGCGGCTCAGGTGTAGTTAAGTGTAAGAGTCGCATAGTCGTACCAAGTTCTTACACGTATACGCAATACCCTCAGTGATTCTATTCTATCCATGTTTTGATTACATATGCTCGTTGTAATGGATTGTTATGTGCTGGTTTATAAACAGAGTCGGTGGGGAGGCGAACGGGGAGTCGTCTGGCGGCGCTCAGTCCCGCTGGAGTGCACTCACCGAGACGCAGCTCCGAGGACTCCGCTGACGACGGGTTCAACGTCAAAGACCTGAGGGTGAGCTACTAAACTTTGCGTTTTCCTATTGAAAACAAATGAGTACTGTCTATTTATAAAACTGTTCGTTTTTATTAGCGAGGAGCTTTTTTTTATTTTTACCTAAGCTGATGGTCTAGAGCAGCCTTTCCCAAAGTGGGCGATAACGCCCCCTTGTGGGCGCTGCAGGCCTAAAGGGGAGCAGTAAGAGGCTCAGGAAAAATGGGGGTGTTGTGTAGAGGCTTAGAAGATGATTTGTAATTTCATCTAGGAGGACTTTTAGACACCCACTCACTATAGTGTTTTTAAGTAGATGAAAAAATGGGGGCGCTAAAAAATAATTAATTCTCAAAGTAGGCAGTAGACGAAATAAGTTTGGGAACCCCTGGTCTGGAGAGAACATATCACCGGGCACCGGGCTAGTAGGTGAGCTCGCGGGGCTCAAACCTGACGATGTTGCTAACACGAACCCTAGCAAGAGCCGTGCTTCGCTGAATCTACCACCGGATCGGAAACGCGACCCACTGAGAAGGTCCGGCGAGAAACTCAGTGGGCTGTGTCTGGGTTAATTTACTCGTGGAGCCCTTCGTCGCAAGCGTCAGTTTCGACGAGAACGATGACTGGTGCGCGAAGAGCATGATAAGGCCGAAGTTCTATTGTGTTGAAACTTCTTACCTTACACTGACCACATCCTCTTCTTCTATATCGTTCCCTCACTACTGAGAATCGCGACCACATGTGACGTTCTTCCACTGTGTTCGATCATGGATGGCATGGTACAGACTACCACCAAGTGCTTCTCTTACTAGATCTGACCATCTGGCTGGTGTTCTGCCCACGGCGCGCTTGCCCTCTATACGACCTGCATTTATACTGACCACATGGATAGGCGTAATAGGTGATTCCGGGCAGATATAGACGAGACGGTACCTACGGTCGATATGGGAGTTGGGTGAAGAGTTTGATGAAGTAGGAGATATGAGTAAACAGAGTAGATAAAGAAGATTAGGCGTGGATACTGTGGATAGAGTAGCGGCAGTTTAAGGAAGCCAGAGCGGCGTATTCGTATCGTTTGATTAACAGACAAACAGTCAGACGCGTATTCTCGTGGCCGACTTCAATGTGTATATTGTTAATGTTAAGCTATTAGTTACTAAGATGAATAGCACACGCCATAAGCGAGCGTTTGCGAATGCCCTTCAACTTACTTCAGCAAGGTAAAAAGGTAACGATTCCACTACAAAAGCGTTTTTCTAAAGGACCACGACTCCTTGTAGACTGTTAAATATGTTTTTTATAATTAACATTTAACGTATCATCAGATTGAAATCAGATAATACGAGTAGTTTATAGGCGTAGAGACTGTACGAGGAATTATGAGGAGAAATTGATTGCTTAAAAGTTCATATTCAGGTGTGAACGAACGGCTATTTGGTTTAAGCGCCATTTCGCTTAATGCGCGACACTTATCTTTGTAATTAAAGGTTCGTTTTATATAGTATTCGTATCAACAATTCGATGTTTTTTATTGAACTTCAATTAGGTTTACCCCATTCAAATAACTGAAGAAGTTATTTTGTTATTTTTTTTTTCCTACCTAAGCTGATACCCTTGAGAGGCTATATCAGCGTAACCCTAACTAGTAGGTGAGTTCACGGGGCTCAAACCTGACGACGTTGCTAACACGAACCCTAGCAAGAGCCGTGCTTCGCAGAATCTACCACCGGATCGGAAATACTCACTGAGAAAATCCGGCGAGAAACTCAGTGGGCTGTGTCTGAGGGTAAATTTACTCGTCGAGCCCTTCGTCGCAAGCGACGGGTTCGACGAGAACGATGACCGGTATTCTGTTATGATATTTTTTCCAATTCTTAAACTTCAAATGGCTCTCCTGTAAAGATGCAAAAATGTCGCTTACCCAATTAACTTTTCACCTTTCGATATGACGTAATGTTATCGAAATTTGTCCATTCCTATAATCTAAATAGCTCATGTTCGATGTTGATTGTTTTGCAGCACGAGCTGAAAGAAGTCGAAGAGAAGTTCCGCAAGGCGATGATACTGAACGCCCAGCTGGACAACGACAAGGCGGCGCTCGGCTACCAGCTCGAGCTGCTCAAGGACAGGATCGAGGAGCTCGGCGAGGAGTACGCGCAGCTACAGGTAACCGCGCGTGGGTGTGGTGTAGTCCCACCAGCATCATCGTCTCTGGTGGTTGTGGTGACATTATCCGTTCCTGTCAGCAATAACTGGTGGTAACTAAGTTCGTAAAGAACTTGTGTTACTGGTACCAGATAACCGAAATAAATATAAGATTTTTATTATACACATACATATATTTAATATACATCTATAACCCTGGAAAAGACATTTTTATATTTATCATACAAATACCTTCCCTTGGCGGGATTCGAACCCGCGACCACCTTGTGTAGTGACCGTTTCACTTACCACTACACCAGACGGCCGTTATCATTAGGCATCGTTTGATTCCAGCGCGAACACAAAGAGAAGTGCTCGACGCACGAGCGCTTAAAACGCGAGCACGCGTCCGTGGAGCGCGAGCTGGAGGCGGCGAGGGCGGCTATACGCGCGCGGGACGCCGCCGCCGCCGACGCGGGCTTCGCGTTCGTGGAGGCCGCCGCGCCCCCCGCCCCGCCCCGCACCGCGCCCGCCGACCCGCCCCCCGACCCCGCCGCCCCCGCACCCCTCCTCGCGCTCGTCTCGCACGCCGCGCATCAACTGCTCGATGACGTCGGCGAGGGAACGCTTGGTAAATTCTATTCTAGTTTGTACCATACTTTTACGGGTTGTAGAACCTCTTGTGAGTCCGCGCGGGTAGGTACCACCACCCTGCTTATTTCTGCCGTAATGCGTTTCGGTTTGAAGGACGGGGCAGCCGCTGTAACTATTCTAAGACCTTATAGCTCTGATCTCACAATGAATGGTGGCATTTACATTGTAAAATGTCTATGGGCTCCAGTAACCACTTAACACCAGGTGGGCTGTGAGCTCGTCCACACACCTAAGCAATAAAAAAAAGTTCTCTTGTTTCCTTCGCTCGAGCGGCAGTTGGCACTATAATAACCCTTATTGGCTTATTACTTTAGGCCGCTCACATATATTAGTAGAATTCCCCAGATGGACACAATCATATTATTATAAGATCTTCATAAACTGAGCACTTTTGTTACTCTGACGTCATTAATTGTTTTTTGTAGCACAAAATGTGGCAAGCTCAAACCATTTAATTTTGTTACTGCTTAAAGTATATGTTAACTTTTTTTAAATTATTAATCTTGTTAACAGATGAAGTAAAGAGGAATTGATCTCTTTTTCCTACCTAAGCTGATATCCTTGAGACGCTATTTCAGCGTAACCTAGTTAACTAGTAGATGAGCTCACGCGCCTCAAACCGGAGTGTTGCTAACACTGACCTTAGCAAGAGTTGTGCTTCGCCGGATCTACCACCGGATCGGAAACGCGACCCACTGAGAAGATCCGGCGAGAAACTCACTCTCTTACGAGAAAGATAAAGTATAGGGGAATAGTCCTCTTACGGGAACTTTCCGTTATAATTCTCAACGAAACAAGCTGACGGATGCTGACGTGTTCTCTGTCTCCCCACAGATGTCCGGTTACAGAAGCTGGTGAGCTCGAAGCAGGCGCTCGAGTCCGAAGTGCGGAAACTGAAGATCCAGCTGAACGAAGAGCGCGCCGCCAGACAGAACGGGGTCGCCAACCATCACGACCAGGAGTATGAGGACGAATGTAAGTTAGGGCTTCTGGCGGGAAGACATTAAGAGATAGCGGTGTAAATTACAGTTGCCACGAATAGGGATTTGGGAATATCGCATACCGAATATTCGGCAGCGCTGTCGGCCGAAGCTTGAAATCGACGCTTGAAAGGCAAACGTGACTAAGCGACAATGCGTGAACTTTACAGTAGACTAATTTAAAGTAAAAATACCTGAAAAGAAAATTTATTTTAACGAATCTAGCTGTAGTAGAATCTAGCTAGTAGCTGTAGGATTGAAATGATTTTAATAGACCTAGATATATATATTTTTTGCGCATCGAATATGGTTATTGCCTATCATTTATGTACAAAGCAGTTATTGTCAGTATGCTAGTTAGAAAATTGATTATCCACAGCTTGAATTTTTCTTAATGAAGTGTCCAATTGTTATTGCAATGTATATGCAATTAACCGAATTGTCGGAATGTTAGTACTGCGGCGACCTCGACCTTCTCTAGACTCTCTTAATACTTGCCTATTGCAGAACGAATTCACAACCCATCTGGTGTCAAGTGGTTATCTGAGCCCATAGACATCTAAGGCCAGGCACCATGAGCTCACGAGCTCGAAATGTAAGTTGTGTAATGACTAGTGGTCGGAGTAGGTAGATTGATTTTATATACTTGCGTCAAGGTATTATAATGTGGACATGCCATTTTATCCATAACGATTATTTTTTTAAATTGAAAAAAATATATTTTTAATCCTCATCGGATACAATTTCTATATTTATGAGATAAACCTTAAACACATATTCATGCTAATTTAAAAATTTCGGAACGAATATCACAATAACTATGAAGTTCAGGCATTTTGGAGGCTTATCCATATTATCTTCTACGTTTGACGTCAACAACCTTAAATCAATCTAACTACTCCGACCTCTAGTAATGACCGATGCTAATTATAACACCCTCAGTAAGAAATTATGTCCAGTCCTAGGCTAAGATATTCTATAATCAAGATCAAGAAATAGCATCACCATTTCATCCAACTATCTATTTTTTATTTAGAGTTCTGATGGAAGCAATAAAGCCATAGGGAAGGGTAGTTGCAATTCTAATGTATTTGACCTAAACATTTAATGTTTTAATAAAGTATTTATGTTCTGCTGTCCACGGGCTCAAGTAAATACTAGATAAATAATATAAATTGACTTTACGTGTTCATTCTAATAATTGATATTGATTAATATGTTGACGGTATTGTATCTATGCTAATATTATAAAGAGGAAAGATTTGTTTGTTTGTTTGTTTGTTTGTATTGAATAGGTTCCGAAATTACTAAACCGATTTGAAAAATTCTTTCACTCCTTGGAAGCTACACTATTCCCGAGTGACATAGGCAATAAACTTTTTTGAAAAATAGTAGGAATTCCTACTAAAACTCCAACAATGTAACCCAAGGTATAAAAAAATTACCTAAAATATTCTTTACATCGCGTGCCCTGCGAAATTGATGATAGAATAAAATAATGTACTACGACTTTGTAGAACACATTATTATTTATAAAAAGTGTCGCGACAGTATATGTCTATTATAGTTATGCCGCAATAAGTGTTCTTTTATTTTAAAAAATTAAACAACGACCCGAGCGAAGCCGGAGCGGACCGCTTGATTGCTATAAAATTCAAAATATTGTGACTAATATAAACTCTAAAAATATTGTAATGATGATTGTTCAATAAAAATCCTCCAGATGAAAACAGTAGTATTAACCGTGGAGATGTTTGCGAACAGTGGAGACCCTGCGGAAGTCGGTGTCGGAGGCTCGCGGGCGGGCGGCGCGCGCGGAGGCCGAGGCCGCGCTGCAGGCCGGCGGCGCCGCCCGCCTCGCCGCGCAGCTGGCCCGCCTGCGCGCCCGCCAGGACCAGCACGACCAGCTCGAGGACCAGCTCAACCAGGAGCGGAGGAGGCTGCAGCGCGAGGTACGGACCATACCGACCCTACTCGAAAACTAAGGCACTGCTACAGTGCCACTGCTACTTTCTTAGACGTATTTCTTTCTCAATTTAATAAAAAAAATGAATCGGTCTTGAACAATATTATATGAAGACTGACGCACGGGGTCAACGGCCTTTCGTGCCCAACAATCTACCTTCACTTCAGATTCATGCTTCGCGAACCAGCCAAGACGAAAATTATTTTATCAGAGATTTATAAGAAGGAGATCGCCAATAAGTGTTATTCAAAATTGTTGAATATAGTTAAAATACTCGTTAATTATCTATCCTAAGTTAAATAATAAAATGAAAGCTTAATGACGTGTTGACGAATTTCGGTTTACCCCTTCGATAAGTTTTTTGTTATGGACTATTTACGTTTAGTTTAATAATATTACTTTTCATCTCTATCGGTATGATAGTATATATTGCCGCATACATATATATAGCAATGCCCAGAGCATTGCTGATGTAAATGAGTGACAGTGAGTACTCACTTATGCTTACGTTGGTCGCACTCGTCCACTTAAAACAAAAACAAAAAGAAACATAAGGTTCTGATGAAATTATATTTGCAGGATGTGGTCGACTTTTGGGCCGTTATCAATGACGGTGACAGCTAACGGTACCCGGCTTGACCTTTGACCTTTGAAGTTTGTTTATATCTTTTTACCCTCACCCACCCCCGTAACGTAACTCCTAATGTTTGCATTTTACATTCTACCACTCTCATAGAAAAGTTATCAACAATTTTCCATATCTGAGGGTGTTAGTGGATGGTGACTGTTTCTCAATGTATCCTTGATGTGACGTTAGCGGATGTCAACCAAAAAAAATACTAAAATTATATTGTGTTTTTGTAACGTATCCTTGCGTAGCTAATGTCGATTACGTATTATTAGAAATTTAAACGCGTTTTGCATGTTCGTGTAATTAATGTTAATTTGAGAGTTACTAAATTGTTAATTGTATATAATATAAGCCGCACGTGCTCCATAGATCAACAAGAGCATCGATGATCCTAGTGGGTAGGCGTTGGTTCCACCTCAAAAATCTCCAGCATTGGTTCTATCTCTCCCGCATACGATGGGAGGAAAAACCTATTTTTTTTTTGACACGTCCATCAAAATTTTCCTAGTTTGACAAATCTCATCCACCGAATGACTGGTTAGAACAAGAGTGTCGATGATCTTAGTGGGTAGGCATCTATTTCACCTCAAAAATCGAAACACTCCAGAATTGGTTCTACCCCTTCCTCATACAGTGGGAGAAAGCAATTTTTTTTTACACTTACTTCCAATAATCTCGTCCACCGAATGACTGGTTGGAGAATTCCACGGCGCTCGGACACTTTTCTCCTTTTTTTTATTGCTTAGATGGGTGGACGAGCTCACATCCCACCTGTTGTTAAGTGGTTACTGGAGCCCATAGACATCTACAACGTAAATGCGCCACCCACCTTGAGATATAAGTTCTAAGGTCTCAAGTATAGTTACAACGGCTGCCCCACCCTCAGCCGAAACGCATTATTGCTTCACGGCAGAAAAAGGCAGGGTGGTGGTACCTACCCGCGCGGACTCACAAGAGGTCCTACCACTAGTGTAATTAATATATCACGTATGGGCGAGTGTTGATCCACGAAATTATTTTCCAGACGAGGGAAGCGCTGAACCGCGTCGAGGAGTTGGAAACCGAGAACAGTCACCTCACGAAACGTCTCGACAAATTGAAGAACGCGAAGTCTGCGCTGCTCAAGGACCTGTGAGGCGCGCGACGCTTCACGCCGACTGCGTTGTTCGGAATACGACATTTAAACTAAATTGAACTTTATAATGTGCAACGGAAAGGAGGTAATCAATTGAACCGACATGGAATTCGAGAAAGTATTCATTAAATGAAACTACCGTCAATGTATATAGCGCCACTCGACTACCGCGATCTGCAACACACCCGGAGATCCTGCGTAATACACTGCGTGTGAGGATTTTGTACGACTTACATTGCTGGCTCATCAAGTATACTGAAAATATACCTGTATAACTTAGATTTTAGTGTAGTGATACATTGCGTGTGGCTTCGGGACCTCGCGACCACGAAGACAAAGGTTTATTCACCCACGTAATATCCTTTTAGTCGACGCCTTATCTCAACACAGCATCCTGAAGATCATCGCCTCTCTAATTTAAGATGATCAGTCGAATCCAGATATTTCTAAATGGACAAATGGGCTCATCACACTCACCTCTACGGTCTGTATGTTGAAAATAAACATTTACAAAAGTTGGAAATATTAAATTTTAATTCTCGATACCGGGCTGTAATTTTTTGCAAAAACCTACGAATAATTCAGGAGTAATATGTTTTTTATGGTTTAGAATAATTAAACAATTTCGTTTCTCCAGTGCTCACTTAATTTCGTTTTAATCATTATTGTTCTATTGTAGAATTTTAAGAAAAAAAAAGAGCATGTTATTGTAAATTTTATTATTTACTCCACTATTTGATGCGCATTACACAGTGTGAGGGTATATTTATTTTTAATCTGCTCTTAAATACTTTTGATTTTTATTTATTGCACTGTTGAGCGAGAGAGGTCACAGGCCACCTCTTGTTCGATGGCAACAGGAGTCCACGGAGGTCGTAGTCTCGATTGCATTGTATAACGATTGTATCGACCTACGAACCGAAACACATGACTGCTTCGCGGTAGAAATAGGCCGGATAGTGGTACCTAACCGCGCGGGCTGGTAGGCCACTGCTGGGAGGAGGGTATCGAAAAAAAACTACTACCGTATTTTAACATTCGTTTTAAAAACTTCCTAGTTCGCCGATTCGGAATACTAAAATTAACAAATAATTCAAGACTTTTCTCTTTCTATTAAGTCAATATTTCTTAAATCCACAATGTAAAGCAAAATGGAAACGTCGGACATTGACTCCACTCGTCAGCTCTGTGTTGTGGGTGGGTCATACACAAAAAGGGTAAAAAAAGTGTTATAGCAATGTATCATCTAAAAGAGCAAATTGGCGAATATTTGAAAGTATTTAAATCGTAAAGGTACTATATTACTACTCATTTTAATCGTAAATTGTAAAATATTACCTTTCATAAATTCATTTTGATGGCGTTAAACATCAAAAAATCTCTTCCTGTGGACTGTTACAAGACGAAGGTATAATGTTTGAGCCATGTTTAAAAATAGTTAAAGTACCCTATATATTAAAATTATTTACTTGTAACACAAACAATATAATAAAGATGATAATATTGAGAATAAAAAAAATATATCGTTACTATCTGTATACAATAAATNAGGTATAATGTTTGAGCCATGTTTAAAAATAGTTAAAGTACCCTATATATTAAAATTATTTACTTGTAACACAAACAATATAATAAAGATGATAATATTGAGAATAAAAAAAATATATCGTTACTATCTGTATACAATAAATCCAATAAACTTATGGTTACATGAAATGGAGTCTTTTCTGTGGACGCGATAAAACGACTTTAATTTTCAAATTTTAATTTATTCGACCGCATTAAGTTTATGTTTTTAACTGTTGGCATCACTAAATAGTGGCCATTCCGGCGTTTGATATTTTGTTGTTTCGATTCCAGTGCGAGTGAAAATATATTTTTTATTCCAAAACACACATAAACGTAAAAGATCAAGTGTTCTTTCCTGTTCCTATTATAGACATGTAAATATTATCTATAAAAATGTGTATTTATTGTTTTTATATGAGCATTTAGTACAAGTAAATGAAAAGCATGTTGCTTGGTTTCTAACCTCAAAGTTAATTTCTTTACGGAAGAGTTTTTATAATACATCTTTTCTGTGGACATCTTTCCTGTGGTCCCGATGTCCACCGAAAAGACTATGTCCACAGAAAATGTGTAAGAAACATACCTTAGTAGGTCTAAGTAGAGAAAGTAGTTAGTAGAAAAATAGTTGAACCGAGGGCCTACTCCTTTTTTATTTTTTGGCAACATTTGATATTCTAAGTTAGAGCCTCAAACTTTTTAGTACATTTTATATTCGCAATAAAAAAAATTATAAATCTAATCAATGTAAATAGAGGAAACGAAAACATTTTTTTTATTTCTATTGATTTCGTTCAGGGGGTTCAACCCTTGGGTCGTGGGTTGGGCCATATCTTGCTTCGTTTTAGTTCATGCTGATTCAGACGATTCTGATAGTTCTCTGGAAATATTTTGAAATAATCAAAGTCCTTAAATTTCATTACATTGCATATTAAAATTCATTAGCTATCTAAAGAATTATATACGAGTAATATACCATGGCTGTAAAATGATTATCATTCGAAATTTTGTTTTGTTTCATAAGTCCACCGAAGGGATTTTCCTTTCTGTAGACATTATTATTTTATTTTTTATTTTCCAATTAATGTGATTATTTTGACATTTTATTTGCGTTTCGGTATTCGTTTATATCAGTGGCTACATGTGTTTGATTATGTTGTCTTAATATATTTTAGCTTACGCTGCATCACAGCTTTTCATCTCTCTTGTAGACTAAATCGTCTTTTCTGTGGTCCGCAAAAATATAAAAATTGCGATTATGCCAAAAATAAGACATATTGATCTCGGTTACAATGATTAAAAGATTGGTAATCAATAGTTAAATAATAAATAGTTTGTTTCACACTGATTCTGAGATATTTTTTTTGCTGCACTTTTTTGTTCTCTATTTGTGTATGACCCGGGTATAACATTGAGTGGAGTGAAAAATGTAGATAAATATCGAGGGGTAAAAGGTTATTTGTTTTAAGCGACATTTCGCTTAATACGCTGGATTTATCGTTGTAATTATAGGTCCGTTTTATTTAGTACTAGCTGACCCGGCAGACTTCGTAGTGCCTCAATCGATAAATAAAAGACACATCAAGGGGACACATCAAAGGAAAAACAAAATTGTTTGTTTTTATATAATTCCGAGCTCTTTTATATTTTCTCACCTTTTAAACCTTCCCTGAACTTCCACGAATAATTCAAGACCAAAATTAGCCAAATCAGTCCAGTCGTTCTCGAGTTTTAGCGAGACTAATGCCGAGTTTACATTACGAAATTAGTGTCATGCATGTTGAGCTCAGTTTCACGAAAGTAGTTTCGATATATGCGAGAGTAATTTCGTTAAAAAATTAGTGTCGCGAAATCAACAGTATCGCAGTAACCATGGCGCCTTCAGCATCAAAGCTATAATTTGCTATATTCAATGTAGCTAAAGAAATGTTTATATACCTATAAACTTAAAAAAAGACTATCAAGAAAAAAAAAGTTGGTAGATTCGAGGATGGTCAACAAGAAGGCATTTAAGTGCAATGAAGTTAGTCTCTGAATTAGCAGATGAAGACCCTGAGAGTTATAAAAACTATTTTCGAATGAGTGAAGATAATTTTGATTTTTTACTATAGGTGTTTCGGGACCCTTGTCATTAATATTCATTAATAAGATCTATATTTTTTTCTGTACTCCATCATTGGTTTGCCATTTTCAATGCTTGAAGCGCGTCCGAACTAACAATACACACGTCCGCACAGCGCAGGCCCTTTCGCGACATTAGTTTCACGTCGCGTTTACACTATGAAATTAGTTGCATGACATTAATTTCACCAAAAAATCGCGCAGGGCACGAAACTAATTTCCATGCATGAAATTAATGCATGCATTACGAAAGTATTAAATTACACGTGAAACTGTTNATTTAAGTGCAATGAAGTTAGTCTCTGAATTAGCAGATGAAGATCCTGAGAGTTATAAAAACTATTTTCGAATGAGTGAAGATAATTTTGATTTTTTACTATAGGTGTTTCGGGACCCTTGTCATTAATATTCATTAATAAGATCTATATTTTTTTCTGTACTCCATCATTGGTTTGCCATTTTCAATGCTTGAAGCGCGTCCGAACTAACAATACACACGTCCGCACAGCGCAGGCCCTTTCGCGACATTAGTTTCACGTCGCGTTTACACTATGAAATTAGTTGCATGACATTAATTTCACCAAAAAATCGCGCAGGGCACGAAACTAATTTCCATGCATGAAATTAATGCATGCATTACGAAAGTATTAAATTACACGTGAAACTGTTGGTAAAACTAATGTCACGAAATTAATTTCACGCCACTAATTTCGTAATGTAAATTCGGCTTAACGAACAGCAATTCATTTTTATATATAGAGATTATAGTTGATACTAACAATTCGATGTTTTTAATTGAAGTTTATTGAATTCATATATGTAGGTAGTTGAAGAAAGTTTTTTTGTTATGATTTTTTTCTTAATAAAAAACTTGTAATGACTCTGGTGCAATGTTGCAAAAATATCGCTTAAACCAAATGGCCTTTCACCTCTCGAATTATTATTTTTCAATCGCGAAACGTTTTATCTCATCGGAACTTCCCCTGCACCAGATAGTATTATTATTAAGAGAACCAGTCAGTGAAGATGAGAGAAAGTAATATGTGATTGTTTTAAATGTCACGTATATAGTTCGTAGGGTGTAGAAATAATAATGTTGTATCAAATAAGCCTCACCTCGTCTGCAAATAGACTTGCAGAATAGAATAGAACTGCATTAAAGTACAATTGAGATTTCGACCTCATGTCTCAAGGTGCGCTGTCAGCCCGTCTAATAAAATAAAAGCTCTGTATTTATTGCTTAAATGTTAAGTGTAAAGGCGAAAATATTACGATGAGGGACCGGAAGCAAGACGATGACATTTCGAAACTGTCATTGTCAAATAAAACAAAATGGCGTCACACCCAAACGTATCTTGTAAATTACAACATTTGTATAAATATCGTATTCAATTTGTAAATGATATGGTATTTTTTTATTTTGTAAAATATTAATTAATAACAACAAAACATGTATTACATAATTAATTTATTACGTATTTCTATTGCGCGTATTTTAGTTTAGATTATTAGGTTTTAAAAATATTTTTAGCTTGCCTCATTATGTATCTGTGCGCTTTTTTTTTTAAATAACTAACCTGTTTCATTGGAATACTTGCCATTCGGTATCACAAATTTTAGGAAATAAGCTCTTTAATAAATAAATAAAATTTAATATCGGGCGAGAAGCAATTTTTGTCACGTTCGCATCCATAACAAGGATTACCGGTTCGAAGCGGGCCCTTGAACTTTTTCGCTTTTCAGTTATCAATCATCTTAATAAACTATAATAAAATGTTACTGATAATGTTGTGAATTGAATGACGGTATAATTTATAGGGGTAGAAATACAAGTTACCGATTCTTACCACTTTAGTTTTACAAGATGAAGTTTTCTTGTAAAATTGACCTAACCTAACTTCTGCCATACGACAGCGCCTCGCGATGGTATAAACGCTCCCATAAATGTTTGCTCAAAATTTTTTATCCCTAATATTTATTGTGATGATATTATCGCTTGAATGTAACGTCCAATATTTGTAGGTTTTAGGGCACGTGCGTTGTATTTCTTGGAAACGTTTATAATTTATAGTTACCACACCCGCTTATTGTGTTGGGAATGTGTTTGTTAATTTAATTCTTGAATGCATAATGTTTACATTTTTGTAGTAGGAAATTACGGTAAAGCTTTCAAACAAAAATCAAGTTATTTTTGTGATTTTTCCGACACGACTATAGTAGAATTATTTTGTCCGTGCAGTTTGGGTCATAAAAGATAGCCCGGCCAGCAACGCCATTATCGATAAAAACAAATGAGTCATCATACACGGCGGCGGGGTGGTATACGAAGGGTGGTGAGACATTGTTATGTTATGAGTCGTTTGTTGTTCCTACCTGCAAATTATAGTACATATGTTGAAGAGAAATGTGATTTTGTGCATTCACTCTCTAAATTTCTTTAGTAACATAATGGCTACTCCTTTGTTTTGTACCAAAACGGCAGAATTTATCCAAATATTTTGCTTGT